CCCCCCCCCCCCCCCAAGAAAAAAATAAAATAAAAAATTGGCCGGAATTTGTTTAAAGAATCACGAATCACGCCGTACTTCGCCACTGCGTGTTCGTCGACGGCTGCGACTATACATTTACCCTAGACGGCCAGGAGTCATGGTGGGGAGGGCGTTCCGTTAAGTGTGCCGCCAACGAGGACGATAAGTCTGTGGTCTTTACGTATGACGGGGTGCCAGCACACCTAGATTTGGCCATTCCCGCCCCATAAGTATACGGCTTATGCTTTTTCCCTCGACATCGTTAAAAAGGATTTACGTTGTCTGAAAGCTACTGAAAGGCCGACATCTCGAGTCCGGAAATTTAAAGATGTATAAAAGGAATGGGTGGAAGCCCTAGCAATCCCACTAGCGGAGTTCGGAAACAACAACTGCAGTGCTTGAAGCTCTGTGCCGAAACATGACATTTTGAGCGCAGCTAAATGTGCTAAGGGGTACCATTTCATGCAAACCTGCCTCCTAAAATGTTTAAATAGCGAGGTTTTTAAGGGATATGCATTAACGGACTAAAACTCGGGCCAAATTTGTTTGAATTTCTATTGTTTAATTGAAAATCGTTTTTTGTATATTAAATGTAAAGAACACTCAATTGGTCAGGTACAAGCGCATTAATGTTTGTCTTATCCATCCTAAGGTTGTCAAGGGATGCTATTGAATTGCAAACAGTGTCATAAAAATGTTAATGCATAGTGTTTGCAGGTTTTCATATTGACTTTCAAGATGGTGTTAATGACTTTGATGTTTGCGTTAATGAAAGTATATGACCACTGACCTATATGAATGCCCCAAAGTGTTATTGACTGTTGATTAAAATGCAAAAATCGTAATTGAATCTCATTTATGCGCAAACGTTCGTATTTTAGCGCTAAAGAATGTATCTTCGCACTGTTGGTCGCCGTTTCACGCAAATGATTGCATATTTTGTCGTAATGAACAGTAAAAGGTGTAATAATCAGAAAAAAAAAAAAAAACCTAAAAAAACTAATCGTTCAAAAAAATAAAGGATAAAGGATTTAATTTTTAAATTAAATGAAATTTTCAGGCGATATTAATGTAAAAGGTAACACA